TCATAACCACCTCCCTCCATATGTAACACAATGTTCTGCACTCAGTTTATGTTCATATTTTTATCAAACCATTGTATGCCAACTAGTATGGCCTCACCTTCAGTTGTCAACTTACTGATTTTGTCAAGTACTATTTCACAGAAAACACAACTTAAGTACATACAGTCCTAGATGTCCAATGAAAACCTTGGATTACATAGGAGTTTTACAGTACAAGTTATCAATTAACATATTACACTTGATAGTTTACAATTTAAACTTAACTGAGAGGAGGAAAAAGAGACCCCTTTGAAGTAGGTTAGACTAACAATAGGTCATTTTCCAGTTAAGAAAATAAGCTCAGAGTGAGGTGCCTTGTTCAAGCCACCACTGTCAGCCCACTGGCCAGAACACCTACTACACTGCAATCCATGATCAAGTACAGGTGTTCACTTGGGGTACTTGTGTTGTATACACCCAAAATGCTAAATTTTAATTTTTCTGATTTAAAATGATACATATTAACAATAGAAAATCTAGAAAACATTAAAGAATGTAAAGAAAAAAAGTCACCTAAGTAGTGTATTTTTGTATTTACTAGTACATTTTTGGATGTCATTAAATGTTTTGAAATATTTCCCATAATCCAACAATTCACAAATAATCATATTAACAATTTAGTTTCATGTAGTACTTCCTCAATACAAGGATATATGCATCTGCACAGCAAAAACATTATCTACATGCTACAATTCCTGGATGTCTGTCTCCATGACTTTTCAGTGAAAGCCTGAAAGTCCCCAAAACATCTGAAAATATCAGCACCATACCTGTGCAGCCTCAAATTTAGGTGCAGAGAAGGGACTGAAGAGCTCTAAACCTGGTACCAAGGGTGTTGTTAGGGAATTAGGTATGACCTTGATTTAAATTCCATTACATTCAAATTGTTACCAATGCCACTGGAGTAACATCACCCTTATCTTTCCCAAGGAGAGAATAGCATTGTGATATTGATGACCTTTTCAGGGCATCATTGTGAATTAAAGTCAAGATTCTGATTATTTCTTTATGACTTTTTTCCCCCTACATGGCATGATGCAAAGGTATCTGTTGCATTAAATTTGAACTTGGAGCATCCAACCAACAGATGCTGTTCAGTAACCAAAATGAGAAAGTGCTATGGGGAGAGCGTCAACAATGTAAAGTAGAACCAAAGCACAACAGTTATCATAGTAAACATTTTATCATTCTTCTAAAATGCAAGTGTACTAGATTGTTATAGATTATTGTTACTTTAGTGGATTACTGTGCAAGTTATTCCCTCCTCTACTCCTTCTATGGGCAAAGTATACTTTCCTGCCCCTTGACATCGGGCTTGACCATGTAGCTCGTTTTGGTTATTGGAACATTAGAAGGCATGATACAACCAATGATTGAAAGGCCCTTGAACAACTGAGCTTGCTTTCTGGTGCCTTTGCTGTAGTTATGAGAAGAGTTTTGCCAGAGAAGTCACTGCCTCTTTAGTCTGAGTTCTAAGTAAACAACCAAGTCCAGAATTTAGCACCCAACTACACCCAGTTTATATCACTCAATACCAGCAAATAAATCCACATATTTATGCAAATAAATATCTACTATTGTAGGACATTATGTTTTGTGGTGTTTTAATACATACTAATAGATACCTGATGCAATGATACTATGACAACAGTAAAGTCTTACTCCATTTCCTCAGTAATTCAAATGATCAGAAAACCTATATATTAAGTATACATAGTAACCCTTCTACTCCAGCCATTATCTGACTAGCAAAGAAATACACCAGGACATTCCACTGTTTCTCTGCTTTTCAAGGATGAAATACTATAGTGTAAGCCAGGGTCTTAAGTCAGACTGCCTGGGTTTGATTTCAAGCTTCTGGCTAGGAGAGTGACTTTGTATAATTTACATAACCAGTCTAGAATCAGTTTTCTCATTTGGAAAATGGGATAACGAGAGTACTCACTATCTCACAGAATTATTTGAAAGATTAAATGAAATAATATATGTAAAAAAGTTAGAATGTCATATTTAGAACAGCTCAATAAGTAAATAAATAACGGTTAGCTATTTTTAAAAAAACAATGAAAAACACAACTCTTCCACTTCTATGATTATCCTGTTATTGACAGAGTCAGGCCAGGTCAGAAGCCTAATAATAGGAAGGCAAGTATACCCAAATTGCCAAATCTCAGGAAGAAGCAAGACCTCAGATGGAAATTCCAGCTCAAAAGTTTATTTTTTTTAAATTTTCATTTATTGATTTTAGAGAGAGGAAGAGAGAGAGAACAGTGGTTTGTTGTTTCACTTAGTTTTGCATTCATGGATGGATTCTTGTATGTACCACTGACCAGGGACCGAACCAATGACCTTGGCGTATCAGGACACGCTCTAACCAACTTAGCTACCCTGCCAGGGTCTCAAGTTTATTTTTAAGCGGACGGAAATTCTCTCCCAGCTCTGTGGCTTTTGCTCCCTTGCTCTCCACATCCCCACCTTGCCCACAATGAAGACAATCCAGAAAGTAGGATGCTAGTGCCCCAGAAAACAAATCGTACTGTTCGTTCAACATTACTCTTAATATCCAGCCCACCATTATCTCTGAGTCTTTGGTGAAATGTTCTAGCTGTCTTGATTGAGTTTGGGAAATTAAAGGAAATCATTCAGAGATTCCCCAAGTACAAGGTGAATCTTCTGGAATACTAGCTGAAACTGTTGAACCTTTCCCATAGAGATTTTTCCCCTCTACTGCCAATTTTAGGATGCTGGGATTGATTTATTAAGAAAAGCTTTTGCCCTCGATGGTGTGGTTCAGTGGATGAGCCCCAGTCTGTGAACCTAAAGGTCACCGGTTCAATTCTGGGTCATGGCACATGCTTGGGTTGTGGGACAGGTTCCCAGCTGGGGGCGTGCAAGAGAACTAATCAATGTTTCTCTCCCTCTCTTTCTCCCTCCCTTCCCCTCTCTATAAAAACAAATAAATAAAATCTTTTTTTAAAAAAACATTTTCTTTATAATGACCAAGTTGTTAAACTTTGGTAAATATTTTCTATTTCATCTTTAATGAATTCTTATTGTACACATTTAGAAGGAACCTCTGTGCTACATTGAAATAGTCCTAGAAAGTATGAGATTTCAAAATATTTGAATACCACAAAAATTCCTTCTTCACTCTTACTCTTTTTTTCCATTTCCATTTGCCATAATTTTATCTATTCATAATCAAGATCTTGGTCCAAGGACCTCTGAAAGGAAGAAATGGTTTCTGTTGCCCTTCCTGCTTAGCTACCCCTTCCAGCCCTGGCTGAATCCACTGCATTCCCTATTGGCAGGCATTTCCTATGAAGGGTTTCAGGGAATCTTTAAGAATATATTTTGTTTAGGGTCAATATATATAAAGAGTTCCTAGTTCTATTCTAAATAGCTATCTAAAAGTTAAAAGGTGAAGATGAAGTCCTGCTGCAAGATGAGGTGACAGGGTGCCCTAGACTAGGACAATTTGCTCCTCAGCATGAGTAATTAAGTTCAGCAAGTGTTTATTGGGTGCCTGCTTCATGCCAGGAGTCATGTTGACTTCTGGGGATACAAAAGTGAATAAATTCTGTACCTGCCCTGCCATGAGGGCATGGGGTAGGGTCAAAGAAAAGTAATCAAGGTAAAAGTTGTGATGAGGAAGCCTTGAGTTGGAGAACAACATCGCAGGGCATAGGGTGGTCTGAGCTGAGCCAAGGACTGGGCAGGGGAAGACTATTCTGGGGTCAGGAGACTGTGACCTGGGGAGATTCTTGTCAGGCTGTGAGTTTGGATTGGAGTTGGAATGACTGGTTGAAAGCTGTCACCAGATTCTGGTGAGTGGACGAGGGCCAGCCTAGGTAGGGCACAACAGAGGAAAAGATAATGAGTTGCTGAGGGTCAGAGTGACTATGAAAAAGATAAATAAGTAATTGTATATACTGTCCTATCTCCCTTTAGCAAGGGGAAAAAAAATTCTTATCTGCTTCCCTTAAGGATTTAAACAGCATACAAATACAGTAATACCTCAGGACTCGTCAGCTTCAGAACTGGTCAAACCCCGTACTTGTCACATTTAGATGAGAAAACTATGTTTAAGCCGCTCAGCGCTTACTCAGGACTCATCGCACTTCCTAGAACTCGTTTGAGTCAGACACGGCCGGCCAAGAGAAAATGCTCCATCACTAGGTGCTTGCTGGGTACTCGTCAGGAGTTCTGGTGCTAATTATCGACGAGTACAAAGGTATCACTGTGATAGAGAATAACAAGTGGTCTCTTCAAAGTTCATTTTCTAATTTAGCAATAAAATATTTCTGATAGCCATTAAACATAGAAAAAATTTCACTCACATTTATAATTCTAATAATTTATTATGTGCATCTATTTCAAACACAAATCAAGAAAAGTATCACAAAAAAAATCACTAACTTGTAATTTCATACTCCAATACTTATCCAACATAAGAGTATCCAGAAAAGAAACTGAAGGCTAACTTAAATTGGGAACAAGCATGGGATACATAGAAACTCTGACGATCTAAACTGTGAACCAGTTTCAGATGTTCATCCAACAGCTGGTAATCAATCTCACTGATCTAAAGAAAAGCCCATCAAAGTGAAAAATCTGAGTTTATTTATTTAATCTTCACCTGAGGAACTGAGGACATTTTTTCATTGTTTTCAGAGAGGGGGAAAAGGGAGAGGGAGGGGGGAAGGAGAGGAGAGGAAAGGAGAGGAGAGGAGAGGGGAGAGACAGAGACAGAGACGGAGACGGAGACAGACATCAACGTGAAACAGAAACATCAATTCTTTGCCTTCTCGAAAGCTCCCAGACAGGGGATCCAACGTGCAACTTGGTAAGTGCCCTGACCAAGAATCAAACCCACAACACTTCGGTCTACGAGATGATACTCCAACCAACTGAGCCACAACAATCAGGGCTAATCTAAGTATTTATTTACTTATTTATTTCAGGGGAGAGTGTGAATGCAGTCCCCCACTACCACAAATTATGCAGTCGAGTTTCCCACATCTGGGGAAATCGCAGGGGTCAGCACCTACAGGAGTGCAGTGGATAAGCCCCGCCCTGGGAAAATCACCTTCAAGATTGTGGTATCTCCCCTGCCAGTTAAGTATGAGTATGAGTGTATTTACTTTTAAATGCAATTTCTTGCTTTTAGATACATATGCTGCTCAAGCAAGAAAGGTTACTGAATCATGTTAATTCACCCAGTATTATCTCTACAGTAACATTAAGACAACTCATACAGGGGATCACATTAGTTCCTTAAGAAGTTAACCTCCAAAAAGAGATACCTCCAAAGCATTCCTAGTGTTATAACCCACAAATGTGAAGGTGCCCTCTTAGCACAGTAGGCAGTGCATCAGTCTCATAACCCACAAATTTGGCCGATTCCATTTGTGCTGGGCTGGCTAAAAAGTCCATTTAGTTTTTTCCATAAAATAAAAGACACATTTTTCATTTTCACCAGTAACTTTATTGATTTAGATATTTTGAGTATGTCAGCCATCTCCCGTAATTGGCTTCTAGAGGATAAAGGCCAGGGGTGCTGCTAAACATCTTCCAATGCATAAGACAGGCCCACAGCAAAGAATTATTTGGCCAAAATGTCAATAGTGCCAAGAAACTTCGCAAACCACTTTTGACACATTCAATCAGTCACAGCACCTTCTCCATACACTACACAAATCATTATTTGCATTTCAGCCTCATTTTTACCTTTTTTGAGATAATAAAGTATAATATACCAAAAATGCTGTGTTTTCTTCCATCTTCAATATTAAAGTGGCTGCACAAAAATTCATCAATTTTAATGTTTTTTTAAATGCACACTGATATGATAGCTGTCACAATACAATCTAACAAAATTGTTTTGAATGAAGTTAAAGACAAGTAAGCACTACTAGAGCCATCCAAGGGAAAAACATAATGAACTTTTTGGCCAACCCAATATTTTTAGCCTTAACAACCAACTAGAATGGCATCTATGATAGTTGGTCTCTAAAGAGCATCACCCACCCTCAGCAATTTCTGTTTATGCATGTCACTCTTTACGTCTACAGATAGAGATTATTTCCCCTTACTCTGACCAATAGTGACATTCTTGGACTTTCAAACCTAGGACTTAAATAAGAATATTGGCTCACTGGTTTCTATCTCCTGTCTCCTGGAATGCTCCTTCTTAGAACCCATGCACCATGCTTTACAGAAATCCAAAGGCAATGTGCAGAGAGGAGGCCCATATAAAGGAGGGCTAAAGGCCTTTAGAGCCAGCTCAACTCTCAGTCAGTGGCCAGCCATGTTAGTTCGGGCATTTTGAACATTCCCGCCATGCTGGCACCCTAGACAACAGCAAGTGAAGCAGAAAACCCATCAGTCAACCACAGATTTGAAGCTACTAAGTTTTGGAGTGGTGTGTTACACAGCAAGTTACCTTTTATACTGCCTCCTTATCAACTGTATTAAGAATTCTTTCACATACCCTAAAATTGTGTCATTCAAATTTAAAATGATTCCTCAGTTCTAAGATTGTGGAACTAGCTTATCTTGTCCATTTTTCTTAAACTTAAAAATTCATTCCCTCAAGAACAACACAAAGTAATTAAAAAAAAAAATCACCCCTCAATTTATCTTTCCATCCCCCACATATTTTTAGAATATATATACCCTTATAAAAGAGTGCCTACATTCCCTCAATCATTTTCATTTCTCTTCTCTGGTCCTCTTCTAGTTTCTATTTATCTTTTCTTAGGAATTATAATTTTGTTGGCAAGGAAGTATTAGGAAAGGTCCTTAAGGACCTGCTAAAGCTGAATGAGAGATATTAGCATATAGGTTATTTAATGTAAACCACTGCTTTAATATCATTTCTTTTAGAAGTTAAACTATTTTTCACAAGTATCTAAGGGTAAATTTTAAGTCTAGGCCATGTGTGAATTATGATCAATTCTGAATTAGCAGTCTCATTAATAAGATTTTATTGTAAAATTCCTAACTGAAGCACTATATTAATGTGGTAATGAGCAAAATTCATAAAAGAGAATATCCATTTCATGTTGGCATTTTGAACGAATGACATTTTCTTAAACAATGGAAATCAGGACATCCATACAAAAATTGTCGCTCGTAAGTTAAAACTGAAGAAAGGGTAAGGCCAAAACAAAGACAAATACTACGCGAAATTTTCGATTTGATTAGAAGAGTAGCTCTTCCACGTGTACTGTGCACTAATCACTTCATGCAAAGACAAATAAAATATCTTTCTAACTCAAAATTGACTCTGAGTAAATAGACAACTTATAACAAGGTAAATGGAACCATAGGCAAGTTGTGACTTACTCAGATTCATAATAAGATCGACTGAGCTGAAAAAGAATACCAAATCTCTTAACTCTCCATTCTCTGCTTCAGTTATTAAGGTGTCATTCTTGGTGACCCTCCTCCAGTTGGCCTTTTCTCAAACAGCAGCCACAACAGCTAGCAGTCAAAAATAAAAAACTAAAATTAAAGAAAAAACTGGCTTCTCCCTATAGTAACTGACTCAACATCTAATAATATGTGATGCTAGAAAAGCTGCAAACTACTACATGGCCATCTCTAGGTCCACTTTAACTCAGTCAGGAGACCATTATCGAAACATAACTCACTGGTACAAAGCAGAAATCAAGTAGCTGAGGATGTTCCCAGACTGAGGTCTGATGGGAAGTAAAAAAGATGATCTCATAATGTTTCTTTATGATCTGTAAATCATACTCTTCCATAAATCTGACAGAAATGTCAAGATTAGGATTAAGTCAACCTCTAAGTAAGAAAATAAAATAAGCAGCTGCCACTTCTCTTGACTTTCTCTTGCTTCATTTTTTTTAAGGTTTATTTTTTATTCTCATTTGAGAGAAAGGGGAAAGGGAGGGGAAAGGGGAGAGAAAGGGACATCAGTCAGTTGCCTCCTGCACGTGCCCCGACTGAGGATCAAACCTGCTACCTGGGCATGTGCCCTGAAAGGGAATTGAACCAGTGACCTTTCAGTGTACGGGACAAGGCTCCAACCAACTGAGCCACACTGGCCAGGGCTCCTCTTACTTCTTCTTCTTCTTTTTCTAAAATTTATTCATTTTTAGAGAGGGGAAAGGAGGGAAACAGAGGGAGAGAAACATCAATCTGCGGTTGCCTCTCGAGCGCCCCCTACTGGGGACCTGGCCAGCAACCTAGGCATGTGCCTCGACAGGGAATCGAACCAGCAACCCTTTGATTCACAGGCTGGCACTCATTCCACTGAGCCACACCAGCCAGGCCTCCTCTTCTAAAGTCCAAAAAAATTTCAAAGTTTTATCTTTTAGAATGTCAACACTGGAAAGAAATGTAAGAACTTTCTTCAAAATGGAACTACATTAATGATACACTCAAACTTCAGTTATGTGTTTTTGAAAGCACTAATACAAAATGAATAAATTTTAGTAAATTTGACCAGTCTCGGAAAAATGTATTCTTTACAGGGCCATTTAAAGCCTCAATTCAATTGGGTTAGTGTTCATGTGTATTTAGATTTGTTTTGGTATTTCAGACAAAGACACAAAGTAACAAATGATGAAGAAATAAAATTTGGAGTGACAGGTTACAAAGAGTTCTGAAAAAGTAAGACCTGACTACAAATAATATCAATGTCCCTAAGGCCACCTGTTAAGATGGAAGTCTATGCATCCCATCATTCTTTAGCTGTAACCACAAAGTCTGGTTTTACACCTAGGATATACAAGAAGCATCAGATTAAAAGCATCAAATATCAGACTATACAAAATTGCCAAACAGAAGCATAGAAGAAAAGCATGATATAAAGTTAACAAACTAGGTTCCAAAAGATTTAAACACACCCACAAAATTCAATTCAAGCCCATACTGCGCTTCAACCTAAAACTGGTAAGTAACGACCAATCCTGACATCTCCTATTACTTACATTCCCCCTTTTATCTCCTGAATTTCTCCACTGATCTTATCACTACTCCTGGGTCTAGCGATTCTAATCTCCTGGCCTTGCCTTTCCCAGAAAGTGATACAGGACCTGGCCTCTACATTTTACTATCTCTACAATTTAGCACTAACTTTTGTTTTGTTTTACTCTGCTAGATGTTAGGTTTTGCCCCCAATCTCGTGTGCCCAGGCTTTCCTGACCAGCTCAACCTCGTCCCTACAATATCTAGCCTCTCCTTTCAAAAATAGAGTACTATCCCCTCTTCTGATAGTTGTAATTCTGGCTCATAGTCAACACCCTCTTCCTTTCCCAAAGAATGCTGTCACCAGAGCCTAGGTCTCCATTCCCAGCCCTTATCTTCCTAAGTAAGGCCTCTTTCTTTCCAGAGTTTGTCAACATTAGTTTGACCAAGCTGGAACCTGAAGGCAACGGCTATCTCAATCACCCACATTCTACAAAACTACAAGTCTCCCACCAGCCCTGGCTTTCGTCCACCTTTAGCTCCATCTGCATCCAGCCCTGCATGTCCCCCTCCCCTCTAACATCTTTCCTCCCACGACCCCGTGCTCCTTTTCCCCACTCCTCACTGCACCTCTTCTCCCGGGCCTTACTCATAAGCCTGACACTGGGAAGGCCCTGCCAGCAGCCTCACCGCGTCTCTCCTTCGGGCTTCCTCCGCTCTTCAGTAACTGTCCCCACGCCCCTTTCCCTCCAGGGCCCCGCGCGCCGCCCAGAGCCCCCTCCCTGATTAAGCTCCCGCTGTCACTTGGTCTCTCATCCACAAGATGGCGGAGCTGCTGCCCCCACCCCCGGGTCCTCTCCGCAACCACCTCCCGCCTCCCAGGAGCTCCCGTCCCGTCCCTTCAGCAGCCCCCGCCGCCGGCCTCGGCCCAGAGTCCCTCTGTGCCCTCCTCCGGCAGACGGGCGGCCCAGGCCCGAGCCTCAGCGACGCCGCCAACGCCACAGACTCCACCGTTCCCCGGCCTGCACCTTCTCCTCACCATAAACTTGAGCGCTTTTTCCTGCAGCACCGCCTCGGCCGGGTCCATAATCGCCGAGGGCCACTGGGTCTGCACTCCGCCGGGGCCGCCCCCTTGGTGCCAGACCGCAGCCAACGCAGCGCTCGGATCCCGCCTCCTCTTCCTTCCCTCCGCCCTCTCTTACCTCTCAAGCACCGGCAGGAGGGCCAGGGAGGACCGGCTGTTTCGTGCGCATGCGTAAACGCTCTTGCTCACTGGATTTGTAGTTCTACAGCTTCCCGTAGCAAAACGTGAAGCCGCCTAGCGAACTGCAATTCCCGCGGTTCATTGCGACAGGGTCGCGGGTGCCGGCAAGCCAAGTCTAGACACCTCGCCTTCAAGTCGAGAAAATCAGCTGATGGGAATCGTAGTTTACAGCCCCCATGGGCTGGAAAAGGGGAGGGCGAGGGGAGGGGGGGGCACGTGTGTCTCCGTGGTTACCAAGCGACGCCAGTGGCGGCTTGCCGGGCATTTGATATCAAGATGGCGATCACTGCCTCATGTATAGCCCAAGTACTGAAAAAACTGAGGCGACTTAGAGTTCCTAGGACCTCCCTAACTGTGGTTTTAGAGAACTGGATACCCCAGATTCCATATATCTGATGTCTGCGAGATGAATGTGATCAAGAGGCGCTAGATCTGTGAGCACCTCGCAGCACTTTATAGGCCATGCAGATTTCAAGGCCCTGAACCAATGCCCCACACTTTTCCCAAAGACCTTATTTTCCCCGCAAGGGTGTCCCACCTGCGGCTCAGGATGGCTATGAATGCGGCCCAACACAGTATAATAAAGTTACTTAAAACATTATGAGATTTTTCTTTGTGATTACATGTCGCAATGTATTTAATAGGTGGCCCAAGACAACTCTTCTTCTTCCAGTGTGGCCCAGGGACACCAAAACATTGAAGAAGGCTGCCAGCAAGTCAGGGTCCAAAAAAACTTGGTTCCAAAAATTTTGGGGTGTTTATATCGGAGCTGGTGTGGCTCAGTGGATTGAGCACTGGACTGTGAACCAAAGGGTTGCAGTTGGATTCCCAGTCAGGGCACATGCCTGGGTTGCAGGCCAGGTGCCCAGTAGGGGGTGCATGAGAGGCAACCACATACTGATGTTTCTCTCCTGCTCTTTCCCCCTCCCTTCCCCTAACAATAAATAAAATTTGTTAAAAATTGGGGGGTTTTTGACATTTACAAAGTTGGCACGGCTAACCCCAAGATGTACAGTAAGCTGCACATTAAGGGTCAAATAAGTACTTGGAATCATGGAATATGATGGCCATCCAGCAAATAAAGCAAGTAAGTAATTTGGCCTCAGAAGGGACAATACAAATTTATTTTGGAAATTGGGTCTACCCTTGATGGAAAAAAACACTAGAGTTGAGCCAAAAGTGATAGGCTTAATGGTAATGGGGAAAAAATACAATAAAAAATTTATTTGGAATAAAAGTGATGGGCTTGTACAAAATATCTGAATTTTTAAAATAAGTCAATTGGGGAAATGCCTTTTTACTTATTAGAAAAAATTCCAGTGTAAATTATTTGTTCATTCAACAACAATAAGCACATAACCATGTGCGGACATCATCCCAAGAAATGGGGATTCGTTAGTGAAGGTGATAGACCCAGTCTTGTGGGACCTACATTTCTGGTATGGTAATACTTTGTCCTAGTCATCATTCCTATGTCCACAGAACTCAGCACAATACCTAATACATAATAGCCTTTCAGGTAATAGAGTTTATTCTTGAATTGAAAAATAATTCTACACAAGTGCAAAATGGGGAAAAACTAATACTCATTCATATGAAAACTACCTGGAGCTTTTCATAGGACTAAGGCAGTATGTGACATGGTTGCCTAAAAAGCTAAAGGAAGTCTGGGCAGCTTGAAGGGTGTCACCTGGGGAACAGAGACTTATAGTCTTACTCTGTTTTGAAACACTCTGACCACACCGGGATTACTTTGTTAATTTATGGGCATCATGTTCTACAAACATCACATGCAGGAACATAGTCAAGGGCAGGGTAAGCAAGAGAAAAAATATTGGTGGATACTTACTCTGAAAAAAAGAACATTTAGAAATAACATGACATCCTGGCTGGTATGGCTTAGTGGATTGAGCACCAGCCTGCTCATCAGTGAACCCAAAGGTCACTGATTCGATTCCCAGTCAGGGCACATGCCTGGGTTGAAGGCCAGGTTCACTAAGTTGGGGGCCCATGAGAGGTAACCGACTGATGTATCTCTTACACACTGATGTTTCTTTCCCTCTCTTTCTCCTTCCATTCCCCTCTCTCTAAAAATAAGTAAAACCTTTAAAAAGAAAATAAATAAATAACATGACAACTAAATTCAAGTGTTTGGAAGTATTGAAAGGCATAGGTACATAACATCACAGGGCAAACTAGGACCCATGGGCAGGATAATAATGATGATGATGAAGATTAAAACAGCTATCGCTTTATTAACTCTTTGTGCCAGGCACTGTACTAGGCACTTTACATTCATAATCTCTAATATTCATAGTAACTCTGTAAAACAGGTATTATCCCTAATATACAGATGAAGTGAATGACACTAATAGAAGATAAATAACTTGCTCAAGTTGTGCAGGAAATTACATAGTTACGATTCTAACTCAAGTCTGCTTGACTGCTCCGTGATATTTTCACTGAATCACACTGCAATGACA